GGGCTGGGGAACTAGCACAGGGAATGGGGTGTTGGCCTTGCGCGAAGCTGACCTGGCCTCGGTCCCTGGAACCTCTACGGTGCCTCGAGCATCTCTGGGCGTGATGCCTGAACACAGATTCAGATGTAAGCCCTGAGCATTGCTGGATATGGGCCCCCAAATCAAATAAACAGTTTCTTTGTATGTCCTGAGGGAGTGGTTCCGCAGACCTACTGAAGCAATGCAAAGGACTAATGTGCAGGCTTTACAAGGGGAGATCAGGTTCTAGCCCCCCTACACACACACACACACACACACACACACACACACACACACACACACACTGCACTTCCTGATTACAGAGTCAAGAGTAGCCTCCAGTCATTACACAATATAACCCAATCCCACTCCACCCACCCCACAACCGAGAAAGCTTTCTGTCTAAACCCTCAAATTTCTTCCAATTTGAATCTGACCTTCTCAAGTTTCTTTTAAATAAGGAATAATTTTCTTTAAATAAAGAAAAAAGAAGAATGTTTCAAATATAAGCCCTGTGGCATGGTGGGTGGAAACACTATGGGAACAATATGGTGGTTTAAAACACTGGAAATAGATCTGGAAGGAAGAAATGGAAGAAATGGGGCGAGAGGCATCATGGGGCCCTCTGTACCCCCAGAAGGGAGTACATAATCCACTCCGAGGCACGCTGCCCAAAACAAAACCAAACACACCTCAGAAGCCTGGATAGCTCAGTGATGGAGCGAGCACCCGGTAGCAGTCCTGACCACAAGTTCAACCTCACGTGCTGAGTGCAATCTCCAGTGACACAACCGAGTATGTGCAAGCCCAGGTCACGGTAATAGCAAGGAGTGGGGGGGCGGGGGGGAGGGACATCTGGAGAGGGGGATGGGGAGGAGAGAGGGGAGAGGAGGAAAGGAAAGAGAAGGGGAGGGAAGAGTAGGGGAGGAAAGGGGAGGGAAGAGGAGGAAAGGGGAGGGAAGAGGAGGAAAGGGGAGGGGAAGAGAGGGGAGGGGAAGGAAGGAAGGGAAGAGGAGGGGAGGGAAGGAAGGTGAAGGAGGGGGAGGGAAGGGGAGGGAAGGGGAGAGGAAGAGAGGGGAGGGGAGGGAAGAAGGGAAGAGGAGGGGAGGGAAGGAAGGGGAGGGGAGGTAGGAAAATAGCAGTATAACTAAAGTGTGAGTGGATCCTTCCATGTCCTGCTCCGTCAGACATGTTGCTCCTTAAGCACTTAGCTAGGGGTGAGACCCGTTCCCCTGGCCTCAAGTCTTGCCCACCTCCCGCCTTCTTCTGCCCTGCCCCAGTCTGCATGTGTGAGGTGGGCAGGACAGCGGTCATCCCTCCTCAAGGCCAACAGATACCAGCTCTGTGCTCTGGAGTCCTCCCCGCCCAGTGAGGAAAATGGCAAGAAACTTAGAACCACGTTTGTGAGGGACGAGAGGGTGGTCATGGGCAGTGAGGGCGCAGCAAATAAATGGTCAACCCCTTCCCCCACACTCACCGCCAGGGCAGAGAAGCCTCGTGCCCTAGGCACTGGTCAGGGGGAGAGCCCAGACAGAGGCCGCTGTCCTGTCAGCTGCTTTTGGCCACTGGTCCAGCCCTGGGGGCTGCTGAGCTGTCCTGGGTGTCCGACGGGAGGGGAAGGGGGTGCAGGAGGGTTGTTCAAAGGGTTAAGCTGCTTCTCCCAGAATCCAGGCCCTCCCAGCCCTCTTCTGCCTTTGTGGTCTGATGAGGAAGCCAGACTCTCCGCGAGACTGTACAAATAACTCCAGGGGCACCGCTAAGTCATTCCGCAGAAAGCCGCCCGCTGCCAGCCCGGGAAGATAAGTGAGTGGAAAGAAGGTGGTTTCCCAGAGCCTGCCCGTCCTCCCGCCGGGCCAGCCGGGGCTCTGCCCGGTGCGAGCCCCACCCCTGCTGCAGCGCCCGGAGGCTGATCCGCTCCGGCCCCTCTTCACAGGATTCGATTAGGAATCCGGGGGCGGACCCTGGCTGGCACCGGCCCGCACACCCTCAGTGCAGCCCTCCCAGCAACCAGCCCAGGAGTCCAGACAGAGGGACGTGGTCACTCGGGAAGGTTCCACTCCAGGTAAGCTCACTCCTGCCTCTCCCACTTCTGTCCAGGGCGCCCCCGAGGAGCACAGGGTCAGGGGGTGGGGGTCCCTGTCAGGCCAGTGAGACTGACAGGAAGGGGCTTCAGGTGCCCCTTTGCACTGCAGGGTCTTTCTGGTCTTGGGGGCTCTCTGGCTCCCAGACTTGGACCAGCCAAGCACCAGTTCTCTCAGGATGCCAGAGGCCCGCTGCTGTGTCTAATACCCCCTACACACACACACATGCACACACACATGCACACACACACACACACACACATGCAACTTGCCTCCTGTGCCCCGCGGGCTCCCCCTAGGCTCGGGGTGCAGAGATGCTGGGGGGGTGTTCATGGTGCATGAACAGGGGGAGTTCATGGTGCACGCATGTGCACACGTATGGGTGTGTGTGCAAGTAAGTGTGTGTGCTCACCAGTATGTGAGTGTGTGTATACGCACACGGATGAGTGTGTGCAAGTGTGTGTGCACCCACGAGTGTGTGACGAGAGTGCATGTGCACACATATGGGTGTGTATGCAAGTGTGTGAAGGTGTGTGCACTCACAAGTGTGTGAGTATGTGAAGGGGGGTGTGTGAGTGTGTGTGAGAGCTCACGAGTGTGCGTAAAGGTGTGTCTGTGCACACATATGGGTGTGACTATGTGTGAGTGTCTGAATGTGTGCGTACTTGCAGGTTATACAAATATGCTGTGCATGTGTGTGAGTGTGTGCAGGTGTGTGTGTGTGTGTGCATGAGTGTGTGAGTGTGTGTATGAGAAAAGCAGGAGAAGTCTGGAGAATTCCTATGCCCCGTGAGTTGGCACGGGGAGGGGCAGTCCAGGTTGGCAGGGGGAGGGCTTTGCTTCTCCCTCCTCACACTGGCAGAGTGTAGAGCTGCTTTTCCGGGGGGTTCAGGGAAGGACCAGTGCCAAGGGCTGAGTGGCTCGCCTCCCAGAGAGCCCAAAGAGCGGTCCCCCCAAACCCAGTCCCCGGGGGGGTCCTTCATCTTAGGGAGCCGGTGGGAGCAAAAGCCACGTGGCCAAGAGCTGGGTGGGTGAAGGGCAGCAGGCACGGAACCAAACACTCTAGGCAGCTTCTGAGTAGACGCGAAGTGGCCACATGCAGAGGCCCTGGAAAGCCGAGAGCAAAGGGGACAGTGACTCTCGCCTGCCAAGGTGCCCAGACTGCAGGACGGAGAAACGGAGACAGAGGCTCCGTCTGCCAGCCCCCACGCCGCCAACTCGGCTGAACAGCCCCAGGCCAGGCATGGAAAAATGAGCTGCTGGCTGGCAGCTGGCGGTTCCCTCCGTCTTCTCTGCAGGCCAGAGCCCAGCCAGCCCGCGTGCCCAGGCAGTGGGCAGCCGGGCACTTCTCAGAAACACTGAGGCTCTTTGTCTGGGTCTGAAGTGAACTGGGGATGGGCCAGGTCACTGCCTCTCCACAGCCCAGAGGCCCAGAGTGCACGGGTGGACGGAGCCACAGCCAGGGGACAGGGAGACCTGGGGGACAGACCTGAGAGTGCCTTGGAGGTGACAGGATGGAGGGTCACCCCCAGACCTACCCAGCTGCTCCCTAGAGGTGTTGCTCTTTTCGGACCCTTTTCTCCCATGGGCGCCATGGTCAAGCCCAAGCACCCACAGTGTGGGAGGGATCCATGTGCCCCTCCCAGGACCGGAAAGGGGCTCAGGCTTTCTGGCCACAGGGAATACCCGCATCTCTGAAAGGTGCCACTGGTCTCTGGTTCCACCGGACTGCCACCCTCTGTGCTCCATGTAAGGGCCAGGCCTCCACACCACGCCGGGTTTCCCTGGCAGTCAGAGGGAGGAGGCTGCTGGGCCACATGCGGGACCAGGATATGGAGTTTGGCAGCAGCAATGTCACCAGGAGCTGGGAACCGAGGGAGGGGAGCAGAGCCCCCTCCTAAAGACACATTCCTGGGGGCCAGAAAAGTAGTACAGTGGGTAGCGCACTTGCCTGGCGCACAGCCGTCTCCACTTCCCAGTACCGCCAGGAGTGAGCCCAGAGCATCACCAGATGTGGCCAAAAATATAAATAAATAAATAAATAAATAAAGCCATATTCCTTGAGCATGCCTGAGAGTTTTCCATTCCATTCCCACTTGGGGCCATGTCTTGGCCCTTTGTCCTGGTGCCATGTGGCAAGGGGCTCAGGTGAAGCAGGAGGAATGCTAATATTTTGCGGGACACTCTGAAGAGAGCCAGGCAGTCTGACTCAGCGCCCAGAAGGCAAGTTTCAGGCAGGAGTGCCTGTGTCCCCCTCCTGAGGGCCTCTGGCATTGAGGCTTGCAGGTCCTCTGCGGCCAGGAGCCTGGAAGGCAGAGACCAATGCCAGCAGCGCAGCGGGCTCCTAGGGATGGCGCCTGCCCTGCAGTGTCGAAGCCAGAGCCCGTGGCCTGCCACGAGACCCACAGACCTTCCGCTGCCTCTCACGGCTTCCATGTGAGGCTGTCGGTCACTCTGGAAGTGGCCCAGAGACCGGAAATAAGCTCGAAGGCTTTTCCCTTGAACTCCTGGAAAATATGATTTCACGCTTGGACTCTTGGAAATCGTGATATCCCAGGGGGTGTCCCAAATGGCCTGAAAGGGGACCCCAGTCACGTGGGGTCCACGTGCCACCTCACGTGGACGGCTAAGGACGCCCAGCTCCCCCAGTAGAACCTGCAGGTTGCTAGAGGACCTGTCCCTTCAAAAGCACACATGCCCCCAATTCCAGCTCATCTCAAAGGTCTGAAAAGCCCCAGTAGCCAAGGTCAAGAGGACCGTGAGTGAGTGCCACACTGGGCAGGCACAGAGGGAGTGAGCTTCCGGGTCGTGCATTTGTTTAGAAGGGGGGATAAGCAGGGTTCCTGCCTCCTGGGCCTCCTGGGCCTCACTCACACCCTCGCTCTGTTTGCCCTTCCCCCTAGGAAGCCGAGATGCAGTGGGTCTCCCTCCTGCTGCTGGCGGGGCTCTGCGCCCTCTCCCAGGCCCAGTACGACGAAGACCCCCAGTGGTGGTTCCACTACCTGCGGAGCCAGCAGTCCACCTACTACGACTCCTATGAGCCCTACGACCCCTACCCCTACGGGGTGGAAGAGGGACCCGCCTACGCCTACGGTGCCCCGCCTCAGCCAGAGCCCCGCGACTGCCCCCAGGAGTGCGACTGCCCCCCCAACTTCCCCACGGCCATGTACTGCGACAACCGCAACCTCAAGTACCTCCCCTTCGTGCCCTCGCGCATGAAGTACGCCTACTTCCAGAACAACCAGATCGCCGCCATCCAGGACGGCGTCTTCGACAACGCCACGGGGCTGCTGTGGGTGGCCTTGCACGGCAACCAGATCACCAGCGACAAGGTGGGCCGCAAGGTCTTCTCCAAGCTGCGGCACCTGGAGAGGCTCTACCTGGACCACAACAACCTGACACGCATGCCCGGCCCCCTGCCCCGCTCCCTGCGGGAGCTCCACCTAGACCACAACCAGATCTCGCGGGTCCCCAGCAACGCCCTGGAGGGGCTGGAGAACCTCACGGCCTTGTACCTCCAGCACAACGAGATCCAGGAAGTGGGCAGTGCCCTGCGGGGCCTGCGCTCACTCATCTTACTGGACCTGAGCTACAACCACCTGCGGCGGGTGCCCGACGGGCTGCCCTCGGCCCTGGAGCAGCTGTACCTGGAGCACAACGATGTCTTCGCCGTCCCCGACAGCTACTTCCGAGGCTCCCCCAAGCTGCTGTACGTGCGGCTGTCCCACAACAGCCTCACCAACAACGGCCTGGCCTCCAACACCTTCAACTCCAGCAGCCTCCTCGAGCTCGACCTGTCCTACAACCAGCTGCAGAAGATCCCCCCGGTCAACACCAACCTGGAGAACCTGTACCTGCAAGGCAACCGCATCAATGGTGAGCCTCAGGGGCGAAAGGCCGGCACGGCCTCGGGAGGGTGACCCTGTGCCGGACAGTCAGGGTAGTCAAGGAACACCAAGAGGACCCATGGGGCGCCCCCGAAACAAGCCGCACAGGAGACACACACGTGCACACACTTATGCACACATATGCACTCACACATGCATGCACACGCACACGCATGCACATGCAATACTTGTACACATATACACAAATGCACACACATGCACACACTTATGCACACACATGCACACATATGCACTCGCACATGCATGAACACGCACACACATGCACACGCAATACTTGTACACATGTACACAAATGCACACACATGCACACACTTATGCACACATATGCACACATATGCACTCACACATGCGTGCACACGCACACACATGCACACGCAATACTTGTACACATATACACAAATGCACACACATGCACACACTTATGCACACATATGCACTCACACATGCATGCACACGCACACACATGCACATGCAATACTTGTACACATATACACAAATGCACACACATGCACACACTTATGCACACACATGCACACATATGCACTCGCACATGCATGCACACGCACACACATGCACACGCAATACTTGTACACATATACACAAATGCACACACATGCACACACTTATGCACACATATGCACACACATGCACTCACACATGCATGCACACGCACACACATGCACACGCAATACTTGTACACATATACACAAATGCACACACATGCACACACTTATGCACACATATGCACACATATGCACTCACACATGCATGCACACGCACACACATGCACACGCAATACTTGTACACATATACACAAATGCACACATGCACACACTTGCACACAGAGGCATGTACACACATGCATGCACATGCGCACACAAATGCACATACACACATGCACGCACGTCACACAAGCACAAACTCACATATGCATATACACACATACACACACGTGTACACATGCACGCACATATGCACACACATGCACACGCGCGTGTACATACACAAACACACTTTAGTTCAAACCATGGAGTTGGAGCACGCAGAAGGCGGTGGGCAAATCTGGAAGAAGCCTTCCCAGACGTAAGTGGCTGTCCCTCCGTTGAGAGATGAGAGGAACAAATGTAACACAACACAGGGCCATAGTGATAGTACAGCGGGCAGGCGTTTATCTTGCACACTGTCAGTCTGGGGTCGATCCCCACTCCCATATATGGTCCCCAGAGCACCAGTAGGAGTGATTTCTTTTTTTCTCTTCTTTTTTTTTTTTTTTTTTTTTTTTTTTGCTTTTTGGGTCATACCCAGTGGTGCTCAGGGATTACTCCTGGCTCTGCACTCAGGAATCACTCCTGGTGGTGCTCAGGGAACCATGTGGGGTGCTAGGGATTGAACCCGGTTGGCCACGTGCAAGGCAAACACCCTCCCCTCTGTCCTACTGCTCCGAGCCCCAGGATTGATTTCTGAGCATGCCAGGTGTGCCCACCCCCACCCCAAAAAGATAAAAAGAAAGAAAGAAACCCAGCACAACACTGGTCTGGAGAGAGGAATTTGCCACCCTGACCTGGTCTGGGAAGAGCAGACTTGGGAAGCTTGGGAAGACATGTGTTGACCTGGGCTCCATGGAGCATGGCCCCAGTGCGTGATAGCAGCTGTTGTGGGAGAGAGAGGCCAGAGAGATGCGGGGTGTGGAACATCAACATCCGTTCTGCCCGCAGGACCGCAGGGCCACTCAGGGACATGCTGACCTCTGCCCCCACCCCAGCCCTCCAAGGCTCTGCTGAGATGGACTTAAGCAAAGCGCCCCCACCCTGGCCAGCAGAGCCCCTTGAGCCAAGCAACTCCCCTTGGCAGCGTCTGTGACCGCAGGAAGCCCCCATCCCCAGCTTTCACCTTACCGCCCTCTTTGGGCAAAGTAACTCCTGGGTCTTCTTCCCCGGCCCCCCTTCTTTTGGCTTTTTTGAACATCACCCAGTGATGTTCAGGGCTTACTCCTGGTGGTGCTCAGGGGACCATATGGGATGCGGGAGATCAAACCCGGGTCAGCCGTGTGCAAGGCAAGTGCCCTACCCACTGTACTATCTCTTGGGTCCCAGGTATTTTATTAATTTTTTTCTTGCCCTCCTCCTCCTACAAGAATCCTTCTTGGGGGGTTTCGGGGGACTAAACCACACCCCGCAGCTCAGGGATCTCTGCTCAGGGATCACACCTAGAGTGGCTCAGGGGACCATATGTGGTACCAAGGACTGAGCCAGGGGCAAAACGTGCAAGGTGAGGGCCTGAATCCCAGACTCACCTGTCCAGACCCCTGACTCATGCTTCAGACCAGCACTCAGTGAGCCAGAGACGCAATGAGCTGAGCACACGCTTTGCATGCAGGTGCCCCAGGCTCAATGCACAGCTCCACACGGTCACCTGTGCACTGCAGGGAGTGACCCCCAGTCACAGAGCCAAGAGGGACCTTGAGTACTGCCGGCTGTAGCCCCAGACAAACAAACAAAAACCCAGATACATCAGCGACTGCCGTGATCTTACCACCACTCTGAACCTGCAGGCTGAGTTTCATTTTCTTTTTCACATCACAAGAAGGGGGAAACTGAGACCCAGAGAGAGGTGAGCAATCTCTCCAGGTCCCGAGGCCTGCTGGACAGAGCCCTGAACCCCTGTTGTCAGCATCCCAGCACCCCCAAGATCAGCCCCTGTCCTAGGGCACATCCCCACAGCCAAAAGGGACAGGGTTGGAGGGATAACCCCCTGGGAGAAGTAAAGGGAGGATGGGGAGCGAAGGGGCTGAGGGAAGATGCCAGAGCCCCCTCCTCCTCCTGCTGGCACCAGCCTGGTAGCACTAGGGCTCAGCACTGGCATGTGACTGTCACTGTGGGATCTCATGGGGGGCACACTGGGCAGAGGTCAGCATTTCTGCTGGACTGGGAAAAGTCCCCCTGGCCCCTGAGGGTCCCTGAGCAGAAGCCTGAAGCTATTTGTGATCCGGTCAGAGACACAGGGGGGCAGACAGTTGGGGCTCATGGCCAATGTGGGGTAGAACCCACATCCACTGGGACTAGCAGCCCCTGAGAATGCCCCCCACACACACACACATTTCTTAGTGCACGATAGTTTCAGTAGGACCTGGGGCTCCAGGCTGGGACAGAGAAATCAATCAGCCATCAGAGATGTGGGGGTTTGGGTTGTTTCTCGGGCCACATCCAGCTGTGCTCAGGGCTTACTCCTGGCTCTGCACTCAGGAATCACTCCTGGCAGGGCTCAGGGGACCATATGGGATGCCGGGGATGCTCCGGACCCACATCAGAGAAGCTTCGGCACAGTGAGTTTGCTCATCTTCAGCCCACGCCCTCCCTCCAATAACCCCCGAACACACACACACACACACACACACACACACACACACACACACACACACAGATCCAGCCTAGCGCACAGGCTACCTCACCTGGTCTCTGAGAGGGCAATGTTCCAGATCTTCTACACCCTCGGAGTGCTCCCCAGCGAAGGGCATTCTGGGTAAGGGTGTAGCTCAGAGGACACTCTCGGCTGTCGTGTTGTTATGCGTCATGTCCTCACTCGATTCCCAGCTCCCCTCTGCCACCACCAGGGTGTCCTTCCCACCTCCTCTGCTCCCCCAGGGCTCTTGGGCTGCATTTCCTGCTGCAAAGTTCCCGCTCACTGGGGTTGCCTCTCCACTCTGCTCCATCTGCGCTTAGGTACGGAGAAGAAATGAGGAGCTGGCAGCAGACGAGGTGCCAGCCACGGGCCAGAACAGGGACGCAGATGTGCCCTTCACCAGCAGCCCAGCCCTCCCCTGGCTCCCTGCGCCCCAGGGCCAGACCCACACCTCTCCAGGTCCTAGCTTGGCGGACTCCAGCTCCAGGGCTGACACCTCACACCCCAGTCATGGTCCCCAGGGGAGCCACAGCAGTGCCTCAGAGATGGCCCAGTGCAGCACCCAACCCCTCTGTCCACGGGCTGCCCATCCCGTGACAGGACCATACCCTCAGTCTGCACAGGGCTGCCCATCCTGTGACAGGACCATGCCCTCAGTCTGCACAGGACAGCCTTGCAGGCCTGCGACTCCTCACTGCAGACTCTCGCTGCCCTACTGCCCACCAGCTGAGCCCTGGGCTAGTGTCCTACTAGACACCGGCTGAGCCCTGGGCCAGTGTCCTACTAGCCATCAGCTGAGCCCTGGGTCAGTGTCCTACTGGCCATGGGCTGAGCCCTGAGTCAGTGTCCTACTGGCCATCAGCTAAGCCCTAGGTCAGTGTCCTACTGGTCATGGGCTGAGCCCTGGGCCATTGTCACACTAGCCACTAGCTGAGGCCTGGGCCATTGTCCTGCTGGCCACTGGCTGGGCCCTGGGCCAGGGTCCTACTGGCCACTAGCTGACCCCTGCCCTGGGCCTTTCGAATTCCCAACAGGGAGCTGCGGAAGGGGCCACGGGGCAGGTGGCTGTCTTCTCTGAAATGGCCAGAGGGAGTAGAGGCAGCAGAAGGATGCCGGTTAAAAAACAAACAGGACTTTGTATCCCTTAAGGCAACCTGGCTTCCAGGAGACCCTTCCAAACCGGGCTTGAGAAGGGAGATGGAGGGATGTCTCAGAGGGCTGAGCATGTGCCCGAATGCCGGAGACCTGGGGGTTGCTCCCCACACCACATGGTCCCCAGGAAACACCAGCAGTGACCCTCAGGCATAGAGTTGGGACCTGCTCCTGAGTACAGCAAGATGTGGCCCAAAAAGCAAAAAATAAGTCTAACTAAAATTTTTAAAGGGATATACCATAATCACGCACAGTGTAGAAAGCAGCAGAATTATTGATTTTTGTTTGTTTGGGGGCTGCATCCTCATGTTCAGGGCTCACTTCTGGCAGGGCTGGGATCAAACCGGAGTCCTAGACAAGCCCCTTCACAACTGCGGTGCTGTCTTTGTGAGCCCCGTGACTTAATTTTTTTTTTAATTTTTATTAGTGAAACAGCATGAGGTACAGTTGTAGACTTACAAACTTTTGTGCTTGGGTTTCAGTTATACAATGGTCGAGTACCCATCCCTCCACCAGTGCCCATTCTCCACTACCAATGATCCCGGTATCCCTCCTACCTCCCATCCTCCCATCCCACCCTGCCTCTGTGGCAGGGCATTCCCTTTTGTTCTCTCTCTCCTTTTGGGTGCTGTGGTTTGCGAAAGAGGCATTGAGTGGCAGTCGTGTTCGGTCGATATTCTACTTTCAGCATGCATCTCCCATCCTGGGAGAGAAGGGAGAACCAAATAAAGGGTGTTGACTTAATTTTTGAGGCCAACCCACTCATCTCCCAATCCTGTCTTCCTTAAACCCAGGCCTTGCTGGCCCCTTGGGCTGTTAGCAGCACAAAGTGTAACCTCTCCAAGAGCTGCCTTGCAGACACTTGTCCCTGGACCCAGGCTTTCTCTCTTTAATTTCCTGCCACTTCCTGTATTAGCACAGAGGCAAGAGATGGTCCTGATTTAAGCCCCTTCATTTCCCAGACTCCCTTCTCCTCGGCGTTCAGCAAAGCCCAACCTCAAAAGCAATCAAGGTCTTTAAAGCTCTAAGGGCTGTTCTCATCTTCTGCTTCCCCAACTGCCGGCAGAAGGGCCAGCACTTGTCCCGGCGGGAAGGATTCTCAAGGACGTTCCTGGAGCTGTGCGGGTTGGCGGGGCCAGTGGGAGCCCGAGCGCCAGGGACAGACGGAGGCCAGGGCTGCCCCCTAGTGGCGTGTGTCGGTAGGACTGTCCATCCCGGCCGTGCCCTCCTGCCAACCAACTTCTGCACCCGAGTCCTGCCCCTCCTGGTCTCTGAGCTGGACTTTCCTCACTCCTCTCCCTGACGCCCCTCTTGTCCCCGCAGAATTCTCCATCAGCAGTTTCTGCAGCGTGGTGGACGTCATGAACTTCTCCAAGCTGCAGGTGCTGCGCCTGGACGGGAACGCGATCAACCGCAGCGCGGTGCCCGCGGACGCGCCCCTCTGCCTGCGCCTGGCCAGCCTCATCGAGATCTGAGAGCGGGGCCAGCCCTGGCGCTGGGCTGGGCGCCGGGGAGACCCGGGGTCCCACTGCATTAGGCTTGATGGTTTGGTTTGGCTTTTGCTGGTGAGAAGAGATGGCTCCACCGGCTCCCTCCAAGGTCCCCTTCCCCGCAGGGTCCCGCGGGGTCAGGGCTCCTCTGCTTTCCGCCGGGGCGGACACCGGGAGGCAGTTTGTTCCAGGACACCAGTGGTGGCCAAGAGAAAGCCCCCCAGACAGCTCCCTCCCTTCCGTCCTTGCTACCCACCGTCTGTGTGAGGAACTTTCAAAGCTCCTTGGGCAATAGAGCATGTGAGTCCTTTCTCGGTGATCACTGGTCCTCAGAAATAGCTCTGTCCCAACCACCACCTCCTAAGGCCGCCTCTGCCCGCAGCCTGGCCCTGCAGATACTCTTCCGTGCCTGGGGCAGAGGCAGGAGAGCCCAAGAGAGTCCCCACCTGCGTCTGGGGTCTGCACCCTGACACCGCCTGGTGGCCGTGGCAGCACTGTCTGTGGTCTAGGCAAAGACCAGCCGCCTCACCCTTGAACACAGGGAGGAGGCTTGTTTTACAGCGGGCGCATCTCTGAGTGGGTCAGCCTCCAAAGAGGAGCCAGCACACTTGGCGTCCCCTGCTGCCCCCGGGGCCAGCAAAGTCCGTGCAGACAGTTCTTCCCTTCTCGCCCACACTCTGCCTTCCCAGCCGCTCCCAGCTGGAGGTTCCCAGGGAGAGAAGAAACCTGCGGGTTCTCAGAGCTCAAGGAAGCTCCTTGGTCTGACCAAACAGGCCCAGGTCTCCCCTAGCCCTGGACTCAGGCCATGCAGCATGAAATCCCCCATCAGTACCGCAGTTCTTCCTTCCTGTTTCTGAAAACTAGTGTTGCCTGCAGCCCAGCCCTCTTGCCCTTCTGGAGACCCCTGGGGTAAAGCCATCGGGCAGCTGGGGCAGGGGCTGGAGAGGATTTCGCCTTTGCCTGATCCCTGTCTGGCAGCTGTGACCTCCTGGTACTGTGTAGACTTGGAAGTTGCTGCCTTCAGATGCAAAAGGGCTGGCAGAAGGAGGGTGGGGTTGGTCCTTGGTCTATGTTCTTGGCTCCAGACCCTGAAATCCACAAAAGCCAAACCAGCCTCATAAAGGAGCTCTGCATGGGGGGGTATAAGGCTGCCCCCCCCAGGGCTCTCCCAAAAGCATTGCATGTGGACCCCATCACGCCTCAATACAGGATCCTCATTATAGGAAAAGCATGCGTGATGGCTAACCTGAATAATAAAGTCATTTTACCATTGCAGCTGCAAGGGACGAAGTCATTTGGGGGGATGCAGAGATAGTAGGACGCTTGCCTCACACACAAGCCAACCCGGGTTTGACCCCTGGAAACCCAGATGGTCCCCCAAGCACTGCCAGGAGTATGAATGTAGAACCAGGAATAAGCCCTGAGCATCAGGGATGTCACCCCTGGACTCACCAATAAAGAATTAGTCCTTTCGTGAAGGCGGAGGATTAATTAGGAGGCCCTGGGGGCATCCCCGGGTCTCAGACTAAAAGGACCCTCTTTCTCATCTGTTCCTCTTGGGTGGATATAGCTCAGACTTGTTAAAGCTTCCTCGTGCCTCAGGAGAGACCACTCCATGGGTGGGGTGCAGGCTTGGCATGTCAGAGGCCCGGTTTGCTCCTGAGACAGAGCTGGGAGTAGCCCCTGTGAACTGCTAGGAACGGCCCCCCCAAAGAGACCCCTGTATGAAAGCTCTGCTTATCACACTTTGTGCTCTGTAAGGGGGACACACACAGTGATGCTCAGGGGTCACTCCTGTCTATTCTCGGGGGACGTATACAGTGTAAGGAGTCCGATGACGGCCAGTTGCCTCAGCCACCGGACCATCTCTTGACCCTCGCAGTTTTGGAAGTCTAACGTCAATGTCAATCCTGATCACTACATACTCTCTTCCACTGGGTCCGAAGCTTTAAAAAGAAAAAAAGAAAGAAAGGAAAAGAAAGAAAAAGCGCACTTTTGTTTTTGTTTTCAGTTTTTCTCCTTCCTAGCCAACGCCGGGGCCACTGGTCCTGAGGATTGTTGTCTTAACTGCTTCCGCCATCTAGTGGTCACTCGGAGAAGTGGCGGCAAGGGGACCCTTGCAAAGGTTAGTTGGAGAATTTGAGCCTCAGGGCGCCTGTCCGTTCCTTCTCTCACTTTTCTCTGTGCGCGTTTCTGAATAGGCTCTAAGTGCCAGCTGAGCTGCTAAGTGCTGAGCAAATGCTCTGTTTAGGATGCAGAAATCGGCTTAAAGTTTCAGAACGGTCCACTATTTTCTGATAAGCTGATATTTAATAGTGCGCTCACACATGCACTGAATTTCTGAGCCAAGCATGTTGCAAACATTACCATCTTAAACCAGGCAAGTACATTTGATTTTAATTATCATTATAACTATTGGGCAAGGGTCACGCAGGACTGTGAATGAGGGCAAGATCAGAATGCATATGAGGCCGAAGAGATAGTATCACAGTAGGGCCTTGCACGCCACTGACCTGGGCTCACACCCCACATGGTCCCTCGAGTCTGCGGCGAGTGATCCCTGAGCAGTCAGCAGTAAGTACTGAGCAGCGCTGGGTGTGACCCCAAAACAACAACAACCAATCAAGGGGAAGCATAACTTGACCCCAGACCCTCTTCAAGGACAGGACCACTGTGGTGGGGTTCCAGCCCAGGTGGGTGGGGTTCCAGCTCAGGTGGGTTACAAGGAGTGATGACGGGGGTGTGCAGCCTGGGACCCGGCACCGTCCCATCACGGGAAACCCCTTCTGCCTCTCAGGTGATCTTAGCACCTCGCCTGAGCAGCCCAGGCACGGCAGAGCAAGAAGAAGGGGCCGGACCCACCCTGGGGGGCTTCCTGCTCCCTGAATGCGGTGCCTCTGACGGGTGGCCAGGGTGCACCCAGCAGGGCCTCCCGCTGCCCTGACCAGCGCTGCTGATGTGCTGGTACTTGTCTCCTCCTCTTCCCATCCTCTTCGGGCCTTGTCCCTTCACTGAGTCACAGATGGGGAAACTGGGGGCGTTGTCAGGGGAACGAGAGGACCGGGCCCTGGCAAGAGGTAACGGTAAATATAAACACCCGATGCGGAGGATTCGAAAGAAAGACTGCGAGATGACCACAATGTGGAGGAGGAAGGAGAGGCTCACCGGCAAGGCTGGAGCGCGCCCCCTTTGATGTCCCGCTCCACGCAGGACTCCCCAGAAAATCCTCATTCCGCCCCAGCCGGGCCTTACCGTTCTCCCTTCCTGCCGCTAGTGGGCAGCATCTCACTTGGCTCCGTCTGGCTTCTGGACCAACCGCCCCCCACACACACACACACCACCACCACCACCCCCCAGCACCTTGCAAACTTTACTCCTGGCCTTTGTTTACTGTCTTTGTTTACTAAAGCAAAGATAACAGTATGTCTGATTAACCACAGCCACTCCAAGCTGTGGGCAGCATCTCCAGGTCTTCTCAACAGCTGTGATGTGGCGCAAAATGTATCTGTGGCTTAGTTTGGGAGCAAAGCCTGGAGACCACTGACAGTGCTCCAGGTGTTCAGAGGGAACCACGCTGCAAGGAAGCTCCATCTCTGGTGGCTGTGCAGAAAAGAAGGGGTCTCTGGGCACGCCAGGGCTGGGTGCAAGCCCTCTCTGCTAAGGCATGAAGAGACGGACGAGATGGACTCTGGCGGAGGAGGCAGAGGTCAGTAATAGAATTCCGTTGGCGAGCCAGCCTGCCTCTCTCAGGGAGCCTTTGTTTATTTGTAGCTTTTTTATTTCTGACCCACACCTGGCAGTGCTCAGGGCAGACTCCCGCCTCTGTCCTCAGAAGTCAGTCCTGGTGGTGCTCAGGTAGGAACTGGGGTGCGCTGCGTGGCCAGCAAGTGTATCATCTCTCCAGCCCTCACAAAGTTTTCAACTGAGTCCCAAACCATGATCCTGGTAATGTGTTGAAAATTGGTGCCTTTAGCGTATGGATGATCGGACGGCAGGACGAGAGTTCCCAGGACACTGGCCAGCGGGGGTCTGGTCAAGAGGACAGTCACGGTGGGCCTTTTTCTTGGCCATATTTTTTTTTCCTTTTGGGGGCACACCCAGCGATGCACAGGGGTTACTCCTGGCTCTGCACTCAGGAATTATTCCTGGCAGTGCTTGGGGGACTGTATGGGATGCTGGGGATCGAACCCGGTGTTGGCCGTGTGCAAGGCAAAGGCACTACCTGTTGTGCTATCGCTCCAGCTCCTCCTTGGCCATTTAAGAGTGAAGACGCCAGGTGTATTGATGAAGTGCTGGGGTGCAGTGTGACCAAACTTCTCTGCACTTTAAGAGAAAGAGTCAGGAGGCCTGGGGCTGAGGAGTGCCCCAAGTCCTGCCTGGGTTGGGGACTCGCTGCCCAGTGGCCAGCTCAGCCGAGCAGTCCATCACCGGGCCCACACTCCCCTGTGTGTCCTCAGGAGACTCCATATCTGGCATCAACCTTCCCAAACACTACCCACAGAAGGATGGGAGCCGGCAGGCCTGGCCAAGTGACTGGGCCACCAAGCTGTACCCAACCGGAGCAGAACCATTGCTCAATTCCCAGGCTGCCCACTGAGCTCCAGAGTACAGTCCTTCCTGGAAACGGGGCCAGGCCCTGGGGACAGAGCCCACGTGTGGTTTGACAAGGGCTGGGCCAGCCCCTGCAGCCAGCCGAAGAGCCGAAGAAGAAAAGGGCTCAAAGGCCTGAAATGCACAAAAGAATCCAGCAGCGCCACACACACGCACACACACACACACACACACACACACACACACGCACGCACACACACCACTCCAGCTGGACTGCAGACATCCACAATCTGTGAACGGGTACCCTCTATGTGTCTGGGTTGCCAGCTGTGAGGAAAAAACAGAATTGCACTTGACCTATATAATAATGATAATAAAAATAGGAAATGGGTCAAAATCATAAGAGATGAGAAGACCTGCAACAGGAGCAAGTGCCAGAGAGGGAGAGGGAGAACCGTGGCAGGGCGCTTGCTTTAGACGGAGCCAATCCAGGTTCCATCCCTGGACCTGCACACGGTCCCCTGAGCACCACCTGGAGTGATTCCTGACCGCAGAGCCAGGAGGAAGCTCCGAGCACCGTGGGGTGTGTTCCTGCCCCCACCCCCCAAAAAACCAAATGCATTGGAAAGCAGAT